AACTCAGGAAGAGTTTTCTGCTGGATTTTTGAAGAGCATGCTAAACTTTTCAGGATGCCCAGTGTGTTAGTTTGCTCTTCCAGGTGAGGGGAGAATTTTGAGGAGTAGGGGCAGGCAGATCCTGGAAGAGTTTAAGGAGCCCTGGGGATTCATTTTATTTAATTTTGTTTTGGGGGTAGGGATGGCAGTGGCAGGGTTACTCGAACAGTTGTTGTGCCTCTACAGAGATGTGGCAGTAGAGCTAAGAATACCCAAACCGCACACCAGCAGTCCTAAACAGGCACTTTCTGGGTGTGGTGGGGTGTTCTGCCCCTCCCTGTCCCTTCTCAGCTTGTTCAAGTGGGTTCCAATAAGTTTTTGACCCTGAGTTACCTCTTTGAGTGGACTGAATGAAAAGTATATTTTGGTTTCTGGGCCCTCGTGCCACCTTCAGGTGCCCTGTACCCCAGCTCACATTTGTCACCTAGTTCTTTGTTGCCCAGAACTTTGCAAACATTGGCCGTTGAATGAATGTAATTTTCAAAATTCTTGAGTGCACATACATTTCTGATTTATTCCACGACTAGGCCCTAAACAAGCAGCCCAGTTCTGTGATGGTTTTTCATCCCTCTGGTTACAGCCAATAAATCAATCTCCATTTTCTTGAGGGCAGTACGCACAGTATTAAAACACCGTCTTGTTGGACTGAGATGGGGGCTGGGGCGGCCATACATCTGGGTGACCTGTTTTCTGAACGTAAAGTGAATCTGAGGCAAGAGCTTGGCCATTCTGAGGTGTGTAACAGGTTTCCCAGGAACGTTTCTGAGGTCTTATAATTGCCGCTTTTTAATGGTCTCATAATTGGAACCCGGAAGGTTCCCATGGTAATCTTGAAGCACCTTGGGGTCAGTGGGACAGAGGCAGGGTGGAAACAGCAGTGGAGTTATGATTTTCCTGCCAGATGAGTTTTTGGAGTGAGTTTATGGAGAGAGGTAAAAACGAGAGAAGTAAGAGTTGCCTCGTTGTGCTGCCCGCCTCCATTTATCGCTGAGATTTTGGCCCTTCAGGAGGCTGGAGGCTGTCTACACCTATGAAATTTGAGGACTGAGACATCAGACGCTGTCCCTTTCATCCTCTTTCAAGAGATCTCAGAAGAGTAACATTGCAAGAGACATTTTCTCAGAATTTGCCCAAGCCACAGGAATTGGCTTTACTTGGGAGAGGAAGTTGATAGAGGCCAGGAGGATTGGTTCCTTGACCACATCTGGGGAGGTGGAGGGTGGGCAGAGAGGATTCTGCTTAGCTGTTGATGGGTTAGCTAACTTATGATAAGAGGGTGATTTATGTTCCTTTCTATCTTCCAAATGGGTCCAGAGATTTTCCTTTCTTTGAATTTCTCTTTCAACTGTTTGGGCTCCCAGCTCTCTTCGGCAACTTATTCACGGTTTCCACACCCTAAGAAGGAGTAGGAGATCTACTCAAGAAATAAATTCACTTAGCTTTTCCAGGAACCCCCAAGCTTTAAGTAATAAGGGCGAGAAGTGAGCCTGGTGGTCACAGTATTTCGTAGGACTCTAGGGGGTCTGGGTTGATTTCAGCAAAGACACTGATATAGTTAATGAATAAGGGTTTTTCTTTCAAACAAGTGGGAAGAAACTGAAAAAGAACCAAGTATGACAGATAATTTGTATCCAGTACTTTTTGGCCTCTGAATAAGGAAATATTAACCTGGCACCAAAAGATATACATTTGGAATTCGCTTTCTTTCCTTCAAACCCCAAACCTCCATGCTATCTGGGAAAATAAGAAAGAGGGAAGAAAATAGAGATTGGAGAGGGAAAAGAAAGAAAGTGACTTGTTATATTTTTAAAAATCTATTTACTTTACTTCTTCTCATGGCTATACTTCAAATCAGCAATTACAGTACCTCAGACCTAGGTCAGGGAGCTCTCTTGTCATGTGAGAATAAGCTTTCTTAGTCAAAGAGTGGTTCTCCAAACTACATCCACTCCCAATTTTTATCTATTTCACAGGCATCTACTAATAATAAAGAAATGTTTTTGAAAATTATCCACAATACCATATTGTAATACAATTTATTTTTCTTCATCCATGTGTATACATATTTTTCACATAGTTCTGATAAGAGTATAGATTCTTTTGTAATCAGACAGCCCTGAAGCATCTCTGTGTTTGACCAAAGACTCTCAGAGAACAGATATGTCCAACCAATTTGCCGGTTGTAGGAACAACCTAAATCCTAAGAGTACTCATAAATGGAGCCTTCACAAGAAATATTTTCATCATTTATGAGGCTGAATCAAATTTGGGGGCCTTGGGGCTGGGATGAAGAGGGTGTTGTTTTTAATCTAGAAATCCTTGTTTACAAAAAGCCTTCCTAAATAGGGTTTTTGCCTCCCGTTGAGCCCTCAACCTTGGTAATGGGTAGAGAAGGAGAGGAGGGAGTAAGGCTTAAAGGATCCATTGCAAGTGGCACTGCCCTGAGGATTAGGAACCTTGGGTTGGAACCCTGGCTCTGCCTGTGGACTCCATTCCCACTGGCTCGAATCACTGAGCGAATGGATCCCTGCATCTCCACTGCCACTGATTTAGACTCCCTCCCCAAGGTTGTCCAGTCTTCTGCCCTTCCTTGTATTATTCCACCATTTACACCATCTTTTCCATTCGCCCTGAGGCTTAGGAACCTTGGGTTGGAACCCTGGCTCTGCCTGTGGACTCCATTCCCACTGGCTCGAATCACTGAGCGAATGGATCCCTGCATCTCCACTGCCACTGATTTTGAGCCTCCCCCCAAGGTTGTCCAGTCTTCTGCCCTTCCTTGTATTATTCACCATTTACACCATCTTTTCCATTCCTTCTACCAATATGCTTGGCCATGCCCTTGACAACTGTTGCTGACACATGGCTAGATTCTCCACTGTCTACCTTTCACACCCCACCCATCCTCCATTAGTCCCACAAACAAGTCGCCACGCATCTTAAGAACAGTCTAAGTTCACAATCCAACTTTTTTTAGCCCTCTCCTAGGTGGCTCTCCCCCACCTTATGATAATGGTACCTCAGTAGGGAGCCTTCTGAAAGTCCCAACTAGTTCTGGTTAGTAACAGGTAAGAACATAATGTGGCCAGGGTAAGTAGGGTTAACCCATCTAGTAGTCGACCCTTGATTTTTGCTTGCTGCCTTACCACCCCAAACCTCTTGCTGTAAGCCCACCTTACTTTATATGAGTCCTGATAATAATGTGTTCTTGATAGATATTTTGTGAATATTGATGAAAATGAACTAGTGGATGCACAGGTAATGGTTTTGCAAGATCGACAAACTGTTTTCAATGTAATCATTGTCCTTAATCTGTTTTCTCATTTCTTTTCTAGCAAGGAGCCAGGTAAATGGATATTTAAGGAAGCTTATGATCTTAGAAAAAAATTGCTTTTTCTCTATTTTCTTATTTATAAAATGGACTAATAAAGAATTACTATGCTTTATAGCAATGCACCTTATAAAAAGCAAATACTTCAGAAGTGTTTGTTTATTTGGTTGTTCAAAAGTTAAGATACTTCTCTTTTTCCTCAGTCCCAGCATAAGCTACCTGGAACCCATGACCCATGAAGTCTTGTCAACATGCACACCACCTGAGGGTAGCAGCAATGAAGTAGAAGAAGCAGGTGAGGTTTTCTGCCCACAGTCTAATATCTCTGGTGCATCAGGCCAGTCATTTTTCATGTTTCGTGTTGCCACTTGAAGATAGAGCTTGAATGGAATCTAGACTGAACACATTGGTTCTAGTTTGGCTCAGGTACTCTTAGTCAGAGCCTGTGGTGCCCTCATTCCCCTGGGGTGGCCAAGTGAACCCCCTTTCCCCCGAGGCAAACTCCGTTCAACACGTTGGGTACAAACCATTTGCTATGGGATTTGGAGTCTAAGACTGCTGTAGGAAAGCCCTGTGTTTATGTCTCTGTCAGTGGTATTACGGCAAATGCTTTGCGATCTGATGTGTGGGGCAGTGTATATCTCACAAAACCCAGAGGGATTCTGTGTCGTTCCATCTTCTGAAATAAAGTTGGGAAATAATTTCTCTTTTTCTAATGGTGAATTTGGCCTTATCTTCAAAGAAGGCCTTTGATGTTTGGGACAGGATTATTGGGCAGTAAGAGGAAATCAGAGGAAAGAGATCAGAGCCAATAATACACAGTCAACTTAACTTGGTTGCCAGAGAAAATGTTGAAGAAAGTCTCAACTAGTTCTCCTGGTTAGTAACAGGAAAGAACATAACATGGGCAGGGTAAGTAGGGCTGAATAAAAAAGAACGCAAAAGGAACTGAGCAGCAGAAAGTATAGCAAAGGAGTGTTTATTCTCCTCTACAGTGAGTTTGGATAGCATTGGACAAAATGAGGATGCTGACATGTGTAGATTGGAGCCTACATCCTTTCCACAAGCTTTTATAGAGTGCCTGTTGTGTGCCTGGGCTCAGTGCCGTTCAAGGTCCTGTTACTGAATGAAAGGGAAATACAGAGCAATGTGCCAAGTACATGGACTGGGTCACTCAGGAAAGGCTTCTTGAGGGAGGAGAGTCAGTATCTCAGGCTAAGCCTTACAGGCAAACATGGGACTGGCAGTATTGCCCATATGTAGTGTTCATTAGTTTTTCCCCTCAAATTTACTTTTCCTCAATGGATGATAGGTTGAAGTATTCTTGAGACAGGAGATTTTAAGTTTAGAGCAGCTTTTATCTTTTTTAATTTTAGGAAAGTGAAAAACTAGAATCTCTGCATTGAATACAGAATCTCAGAAATATGAATCCTAAACAAGTTTCTAAAACCAGTTACTGAATAGCTTGCAGGGCAAAAAGGAGAATTGTGTCATTTTTTTTTTTCTTTTTCATTTATGTCAGATTTTAGCTGAGAATTAATTCTAGGAACACATGCCTGAATTCAATTCCATTTGCCCTTTGCTCTACTGTCTGAATAGGTTTGCTTGGCTCTGAAATCATTCCCAGAGTAGCAAGTGGGAAATCGCTGGGCTCTCCAGTTACCCAGGAACCTCCTTAGCTGCTCAGGAACCTCCTTAGCTGCTGAGAGGTAACTGTCATGCAGGATGCGAGCTGCAGGTAAGACGAGGAGGCTAAGTGGAACTAGCCGGCCTTGGAGGGCCCCCCAGACTGGGCTGGAATTGGATTCTTGAGGCGAGCCCTCCCCCACATTCCCTGGCTCTGCCAGTCTTTTCCCAAATTAGTCCCAGCTAAGTGCCTTTACTAGTCTGAACTTACCTAACATTATAATCCCAGGAGGTTTATTAGGTATGGGTCACAGTTAATTGGAGGGGAAAATTGGGAGGTTCTGGGTTTATTACTTTTCTGTGAAAGCAGAGGCTGCTTATAATTATTTCCCAAATCATCTCCCCCACTTGACTTTCTTTCTGCTTTCTGTCTAATGACGACCATTCCACAGTGGTATTATGGTACCTCTTCCTTTTTACCTATCTGTGCCCTCATGAAAGGGATTTCATAATGCAGTCAGTCAGCACAGTGTCTTCTTTTGCAAGTCAGACCACATAAAGTGATGGAAATTCATGGCTATTTACCTCTGTCATTATGAATGGATGTTTTGTAGTGAACGAGTTACAGGAAAATCTGCTGAGTTATACCCACACGTTAGATTCTAATGGCTCTTCCAAAGTGCAGGCCTTCAAAGCGGTCACCTGCGACCCTTCCTTGACACCATTGGTGGTCTGCCATCATGAAGGCCGTGTCGGCCCCAGGTGGAAGCCCCACAAGTCAGGTGCTTTTGGTTCTATAGCCTTCTGTTGCAGGGATGGAGGCTGGATAGTTAGGCTCAGCTTTCGCCTGTCTGGACTGTGGCAGCTTGCCAGCAAGTTTCACTGGGTGGTCTTTGACAATGGGAGAGAGGAGGGGTGGGGGCTTAGTTCTCCTGCCCAAAGGGAACAGCAAGGTTGGCAACCAATCCCCTGTCACTGAAACACCACAAAGGTCTTGAGTTTGGGTGAAAAGAATGGAACAGGTTGCTAAAGGCAGTATTGTGATGGAGTTCATTTTTGTTCCTCTGAATTTACAAATGAAGACTTGCGTTATTGTGGCAAGCCTCTCTGCCAACAGGGTGAACACACATGAGCAGCAGGTACCCTTCATCACGGAAGGGAAGAATTATTATCCTCACCCTGTCACTCAGGCAACCAGCCGTGGACCTGGCAGGCAGGTGGAGATCGGGGAATCAGTGCCAGAGAGGCAGCACCGCCTGCCTCTGCTGTCCCGGTGATATGGATAATGATAGCTGCCATTTAGTGAGCACCTCCTGTGTGCCCAGCCCTGTGCTGAACACTACAAGCATTATTTCTGCAGTATCCCCAGCAGTCCTATGAAGATGGGCAATAATGATCCTCTTCTGCAGTTAAGGGAGCTGAAGCTTAAATAATTGTAGCGACTTGTTCTGGTCACATAGCTGATAAATGACAGAGTCAAGATTTCAGTGCAGGGCTGCTGACTCCAAAACTCAGACTTTGAAGGAAAAAAAATGTCCAATCTCTCCCCTAAAGCAGAACCCCCTAGGGGACAGTTTCTTTTGCAACTAACTGTGAACAGGTGAGGGTCTTTACAGGACTCGCCTTAAAAGACAAGAACTGAAACCTGCGACCACAGCTGGAAGGTTTTGACTGGCTCAGCAGTATGAGGAAGCCAGGCTTTGTGGCACAGCTTGTGTCAGACTTTGCAAGCAGTGTTAAAAGCCACCCCCATCTTGGGTCTCATCTCAGAACATGTCTCTTGACGTTTTTTTTACCCTTGGGACATTATCTGAATCGGCTGTCTGAATCTCTGCTTCATTATAGATGCCAGCTGAATCCATTCGCTCCTCGGGTGTCTGCAAGTCTGATCAAGCAGGTCCTCTGTGCCCTGGGTGGAGTGAGGGGGAGAAAGCATTTGGCCCAGCAGATATTTTTACTGGTCAGGAGAAGCGGCAGCTTGTATAGAAAAATACCCCGAGGAAGGCAGTAGCAGCTTTGATAGACAGGTAACTGACAGGAGATGGCACCTCCCAGGCAAATACTCACATGGCAGCCAACAGAAAGAATTCTACAGGCAGTTACCTGCAGAAGCGCGAAGCAGACCTTTCCCGCCTGGCTGAGAAGAGTGGTGGAGATTTGGTCACAAAGGACATGTAGTTATCCTCAGTTTCCTGTTTTTCTTTAACAAACGTGGAACACCTGAAGCTAAGATATTCTGGGTTAAGGGTGGGGACACTGGGGTTTAAGATATAATTACGTGACTAACTAGTTAGGTAACTGAGAGGTCATGGAAATTACCTGTGCCTTTATTTCCCTGTCCCTGCAAACCATCTCCTCAGAGTGCTGTTAGGAGGCTGTGAGATGGCACTGGGGAACACTTTTGATTCAAAATGTTCCTGCTCGACACAAAAGCCCAAAGCCTCTGGCATCTGTGCCCACTCAAGATGAGTTAGGAGACAGGACATTCTAGGGAACTGACCAGAGGTCAGAGCCCAGGCACAAGGGCTGCAGCTGCTTCTGTGGTGCGTTACTCTTTCTAAGGTCAAGAACCTGGACTGGAGGTTCTATTTGGTTCTATTGCCAGAGACCCTTCCAGATCACTCAGATAATCTGCCTTTCCCTCTCTAGCAAAAAGAGGCAATTCAGGGTCTCAGGGTCCAGCAGGAGTTGGGAGAGGAAAAAATGTCACGGGAGGAGGATCCTGGTCAACGTCCTTCCTGAGAGAGGAGGGAACAGAGGACTCTGAGGAGTGTCGGGCGACCCACCTGAGAGGACTGAAGTCTGGAATGAGTCTTATTATAAAAAAGGGTCAAGTGCTGGAGAATGATGGTTGTTCCAGAAGGGAGCAATATTTCTGGGGCCACTTCCGGGTTGGAAATTATGTGGCATCCTGGGTAAGGGGTGGGGGTTGGAAACAAACAAGCCTCTGTTTGAACTCTGGCCTCGCCAATTGCTCAGTGTATGACCCTGGGCTAGTTATCTAAACTAAACTGAGACCCCAGTTTCTTAAGGTAGTTGCAAAGAGGAAGCAAGATATTGCATATAAAGTACATGAAATGCATTGTGAGCATTCAGTAGAAGGGGGCTGTTACGAGCAAAGAGGAGGAAAGGAAAGATTCAGAATGAAAGAAGAATTATTGATGGATTGAGCAGCTAGAGAGATGAACAGATGGAAGGCTGCACTTTTGGAACCCCCATTGGCTTAAGGTCTGCAAAAATAAAGGAATGAGAAGATGGGGAGAGAAAGGAGCCCACCGTGGGGCAAGGCCCAGCCCCAAGTGCAGCGTTAGGTAGCAGTTTTCAAGTCTGGCCACTGGGAAAGAATTTCCACGCCGCCTTCTCCTCTGCTTCATCACCAATTCAGCATCTTTCATTCTACCAGTTGGGCCACAAACCTGCAAGTCATCTTCAGCTCTGTTCTTTCGCTCACACTCCACTTTACATTTGCAAGTAATATTGGCTTCACCTTCCAGATATATCCATAATCCTGCAAATTCTTACCACCTCAGTCTTCCATCAACATTTCTTACCTGGACTTTTGCGGTAACTTCCTAAATTTTCTCCCCGCTTCCATCTCCCCTGACCTCCCTGCCCCATGGTCTGTTTTTCATAAAGAGGTCAGTGTCAACTTCCAAAAGAAAAGCCAGAACTCTCCATGGTACCCTTGCTTCATTCAGAGAAATCTCCCAGCACCTTCAAGGCCCTCGGTCCCACGCCTCGCCTCCCGCTCCTTCCCTCGCCACAGCCTCCGCCTCCCACCCCCACACGGGCTTCCTCGCTGTTCCTCGGACTGGCTGAGCAACCTCCCTTCTCCGGCACTTTGCATTTGCTTTGCTCTCTGCCTGGAAGGCTCCTCCCCTGGATATTTGCACAGCCCCACCCTCACTTCATTCAGGTCTCTGCCTCACGGCCCCCTTAATTTGGCCGCCCTTTATTGAATCACACTGCCACCATCATTCGCTCCCTTCAACCTACCTTATTTTTCCTCAGTGTTATCCTCCCAACGTGTAACCATTTGTTCATTTACTTATTGCCTGCTAACCCTCGGGGACTTTGCTTTGTCCCTTGCTCTCTTCCCAGTGCCTAGAATAGAATCTGGTGTGTAATTGGTGCTCAATTTTTTTTTTTTTTACTAGTCTGTGTGGTTCTCCTGAATCTCAAAAGGGGTGTAATATAAGTTTCAAAGAAAACAAAATAATCACCTATAGAATTATGTAAGAAAAAAATGCATTCTGGGTTTGTGTGTGCAGGGGGTATGTGGAAGAAGTGCAGAGAAGGCTAATTCTGCTGGAGTGTCTGTTTTAGAAAAGCCGGGAAGCAGTGTGCTAGGCCACGGCAGACACAGGCCAGTTGCTCTCTCTTCCCCAAAGTAGCTGACTTCAGGCTTGCCTGGGGGTGTGCCATCTGTTCCATCTGTAAGGAACATGTAAGAGTGGATGCCTTTCTGGCCCTTCTGCATCGCTCACCTAAGAAGAATTAATTAAACATCTGCTTTATGCCCGGCACTGTGCTAGGCCTGGCTAGGAGATGCAGGGAAGCCCAGGGCATCCTCTCATTCCGCCAAGACTGTATATAGTGTCAGTGTTCATCTGACCTTTCCTAAGTGTGCCCACGTCGTCCTCTGTACTGCTCTCTTCCTGTTAGCACAGTCACCTCCGTTGGATTTGAGCTCTGTTGAATCTGGTTTGGAACCACAAGCCAGGGACAGGAGGAGCATGGGATGAATTCAAGAATCGTTCAGTTCTCCACATCCACGAGGGCTTGGTGGGGTCAGGCCCCATGCTAGGCACGCAGACGCTAGGCACACAGACCACAGAGGTGGTCTGTGTTGTTGGAGAGTTGACAAGCGTGGAAGTACAAGGAATAGCATGTTTGGATGTCTGCCCAGAGGGGATAGATCTGACTTCGAATTACTTCTCTGTCATTTCTGACTTTGTTCTAGATTTAGAAACTGTGGAAAAATAAAAATAGGAATAAAGATCCCAAGAGGTCTTGTGCTGACAACAAATGTGTCTGAGAAATTATACTACCAAGAGCCCCAGACCCAATATCTACAGCATCTCTGGGAGTTGGAGAATGGCCCAAACCTCT